CCAGAGTGTCCCCAGGATCTCTTAGCAAGCTGCTGCCATCCAATGTCCTGGACCATGGAGTTGTTGTCCAGACTGCTGTGGGGAAAAAAAATGTTCTGCCTTCCCAATAAGGGAAGTAAGTGTAAAAAAGCTCTATATGGGATTTAAATTTAAGAATTGGATCTCCATTTAGAACTTGGCCCCAGCTATGGGTCCTTGCTTACTCTTCTTTTCCAAGCCACACCCCTTACCTTTCCTCCCCACCCAATCTGTCTCCATTTCCTCCCCAGGAAGAGACCTTTGGGATGCAGGCAGCACAGATATTTGCTGAGTGAGCATTACCAACTGCTGTACTTCTTGCTCAGGCTGGAAATGAGAGGAACCTGTGCCAGGATGCTTCTGTGGGGCTGTGTGATGTTACCTGTGTTACGGGAAGGGCGGGGAGTGAGGAGAGGGAGATGCACACATGGGGGCATGAAGGGTGTGTCTGTGTCGACAGAGACTAAGGAATGGGGGGTGGGGAGGCGTGTCTCCTGATGCATGGGGGCATGGGGGCGTGTCACCTGATGAATGTCACCAGAGGCTAAGGAATGGCTTGAGTGTCTACAGCTGTTTTGTTTTTGTTTTTCTTCCCTGGCAGGAAGAGGATAAGTTTGGGCTTTTGCAAAGGTCTGGGCAGCAAATCTTTATAAAGATCTCCTGTGTGCCAGATTCTGGGAATGAGCAAAAGGATTCACTCCCTCCTTGAGTGACCCTTCCTCTGACCCCACTTTCTGACTAATTTGTGGATGTGTCTAGACAGATGAGTGAGCTTGGACAACCAGGCATTCTAGATACAAGACATGTTGAGACTGTCCATACCCACGGGCATGGCTCAGGCAGATACGTCCAGTCAGAGGTGGGAATGTCTGCATGCGACACAGATGTCTCCAGGACTGAATCTGCTAGACAATTTTCTTTCTGGCTGTCCTTGGCTCTTGCTGTTTTCTGACATGAATTCTTACCTCTAGCCAAAAAACTCTTCCCCCTGATTCCAAATCTCTGTGTGCCCATTTCTTTTACCTTAATGTTTGAAGAAAGGATGGCTCTAGGCAGCTGCAGTATGCTCACACCTGCTTAAATGTTTCTAGATGTTTTTGTTATATGTCATGTAAGGACCACTTCCTTCCTTCCTGTCCCTCCACAGCACAGAATTCAGGCTTTTCAACAGACCAAACATCTGATGCACTTAGCTCACTGATGGCTAGCTTCATGTTGGCTAGCTTCCAGGGTGAGCTAGCCAGACACTGCCAACTTCAGGCAGACCACCCTCACTCAGCAGTAGAGATCTCTGCTTCAGTCAGCATCCTAGACAACTGTGATTGAAAGACATTTAAGTCATTTAGCCATCCCCACATCTAAGGTCTGGAGATGACTCAAGACTTTCATGTAGTGCTAGCGAATGAAGCTCAGCGCTAGAACATACACTTAGTGTGCTAGGATGTACAAAGCCATGGGTTCAATCTCCATTGTTAGAAGGAAATGGGGAACAGAGAAGAAAGAAGGAAAGTAATGAAGAAGGGCAAGGCTGCTCCAGGAAGGTGAGGGAGGAAGAGACAAAGCCATAATAAATACTAAGGTTCCTGTACTTTTATCCTGAATTGGGAATCTTGGAGTGAAAGCTGAATTTGAAACACAATACCCAAATCTTATCTTGAAGTCAGTAATCGCCTGCCTCTGGGGCTGGAGATGCAGGCAAGCTCAAAGATTCCCAACTAAACAGGTGGTGAGTAGGTGGGCAAGTGAGCTGTAACAAAAGCTGCAGCCATGAAGTCATCTTAGGGTCCTGTACGTCCTTGCAAGGGGTCTTTTCCAGGTCAGGTTAAGGCCTGGCTCCAGCCAGGAAAAAGATAATAATCAATTCCGTAGCTACTGGGAGCCTTGATTGAAAAAACAAAGAGGAAGGATCTGTGTTTGCTGCTTTCATTAAGCGGCATAAACAGTAGGGGCTCCTGCTTAGCAGGAGCGGGAAGCGGGCAGAGAAAGGATGTTAACCCCCAGGGTTTCTGTTACATGGCTGTGCTCACCGCCTCCGCCTCCGCACTGCTGCTTTCTTAGCCCGGATCCCAAGGCTGGCCCCTTTGTGTGTCCCCCAGCTGAAGGAGGGAGAGAGAGGCCAGGCTGCACACTCATCTTCATCAGATGGCCACTAAATGATCCATCATTTCCTAGGTCCTGAGCTCCTTATTCTCCCTGGGTTGGGCGAGGAGAGGAGTTGAGGGACTATATGGCTGGTGTGGTGTGCATGTGCGTGTATGCACGCACATGTGCATGTTGTAGATGGTACCTAACAATGCCTGGCCCTTTGAACCATTTGTCCATCTGTAGCCACCTACCTAGAGCCACGTTCTTCTGTAATGAGGACAGAGAGGAAAAGGCAAAGCTTTGCAGAAAAATTATGATCTGAAGCCCTCCCTTGCATCCCTTCCTCCTCTGCATGGTAGAGAACTGGCTTAGCAGAAGCATGGGGGGAAAGACCAAGTACGTCCCCACCTTTTACATGGATCTCTCTCTCTCTCTCTCTCTCTCTCTCTCTCTCTCTCTCTCTCTCTCTCTCTCTCTCTCTCTCTCTCTCTCTCTCTCTCTCTCTCTCTCTCTCTCTCTCTGCCTGCTGGTTCCATCTAGTCCTGCCCTGTGGAATACAGGATGCACATTCAGAATAGGTCCACTGGTAGAGGGTAGAGTGGGCTAAACACCCAGGGATCAACAGTGACTCTACTCCCGAGTTCTACGGGGAAATGTTGGTTAAGTCAGGCTAAAACACGGGAGAAGAAATGGGATCCCAGGGGCCTCAGGCTCTCCAAGGTATGAGTTATTTTGCAAAGAAGATAAGAAAGTTGAGAGCTAAGTATGTTCTCACTCGAAGTTTCTGGGTATCTAGGCCTGGGGAGAAGGGGAAAGGCTGGAGTCACTGGAGAAAGTGAGAAGCACATGGTACGATGAGCCCCTCAGTGCCTGGCACAGCTTCCCAGGTAAAAGGTGCCCAGAAGCTTCTACTCCCCTCCATCATGCTGGTTGGTTTTTATTTTTGCCCCATGGGAAGCAGAAGCAGGGCAGGGAAGATGAAGAGAGAAAGACGTCACATGGTATTGGCATGTGAGGCTGAAGAGGAATCCAGGTGATCCCTCAACCTCTGGATGCCTAGCAGGAACATCTGCATGGAAGGCATGAGCTCTCCAGGACCCCTTGGGGGCTACAGAGAAGTCTTTATCCCAGAACATGATCTGCCACCAATCCTTCGTGATCACAGCTTCCCAGCGAGATGCAAAGAGAGTGAGAATGTAGCAGGAGAGAAGCAAGACACCAGATGTCATGAGGAGAGAATTCAGGTGGAGAATCCTAATGCCAGGCTGCTATGGCTGCCCCCAAGGAAAGTGAGGTGGAATTGTTCCCTCTATTGGGAGAAAGGGCTGTAGAATATCTTGGGAGAGAATTGTCCTTAGCTGAGATGTGGGTGTTGAAAAAAAAAAACTGCCTTGCTTGCTTTTCATGCCAGAAAAGAAAGACAGTCATAAAACTGAATGACAAATAGGCCACGGAGAATTTTCTCGGGGTTTGCATCAGATGTGTTGGGTCTGTCAAGCGGGGTTATCCTAGCTCTCCACCCCTGGGATCCTGTACTCTGGTCAAACCTACCCTGTAATTGAGCATGCCTGACCCGCCTTCTTCACAGCGATGGGCGAGACAGTGAGGTAAGGGGCAGGGAAGAGGTGAGCTCTTAAGAAATGCGGCCAATCTTCACGAGCGTCTTCCAGACATAAATCCCATGTGAGCCGAGTAGAGGTGAGGTGCTCAGCTCTCCTCACTCTGCCCCTCCCTCTCCTGTAGCATCACATCATCAGGGCCAGTGTTGACCAGGTACTGATTGCCACAGGGCTGTTCTTTCCTCCCCGTCTAATCAGAGAAGTAACACTGACAGGATTGTCAAGCTTCCCTAATACAGAGGATAAAACATTCCAGCCCCCTTCATCTCTTCCTCCCACGTTCTTATTCCAGGGACTTCATGAGTGAAGAAAAATCTCCAGGCCTTAGACTGCCTGGGGACAATTAACATTTGCCCTGGAATCCAAGATGAGGTTTCCAAATAACCAAAGAGAAACAGGTCTTGCCATAAGTAGCCACAACAGAAATTTACAGAGGGATTGAATTCATGGAACTGTTGCCCAGCTGTCTCCATTCTCACTGTTCCCTTCCCATGACTGCCAATCATCCTGCACCCCTGTGTGCTCTTGAGTCAGGGACGAGCTCCAGCCAGGTAAGTCCTGAAGCTGTAACAGAGGCACCCACAAGTCTGGAAGGTTGTTTCTGGGTTCCCCTTTGGCACTGCAAGGACACAGAATGAAGATGCTCACTTGGGTCAGAAGGGAGAAAGCTTGGACTCCTGGCTTTGACTCCCACTGCATCAGATAAAGAACCACCTCTTTCGCCTGAGCAGCGCTGTCTCCCACCCATCATTTCCCTGTATCTGGCTCCCTTTCCCCGTTCCCTGCTGTCCTTCAGCCTTATCCTCATTGCTCCAATCCTCGTTGCTGGACCCCAGCCCCTTTGAAGCTCTTAACAAACCTCCAGATCAAACCTGCCTTCTTGGCACCTCACTCTTTATTTAAACAGTTGTACTATGCAAACTCCCTTCTGAATTTTTCCTAGCTTAAATCCTCCAATAGTCCCTTGGCTTAATTTTTACCCCCATCTTCCTCAATTTTATCCCGTTAATACCTAGAAGTTACCAATATCCCCAATCAGTTTAAGCCCACGTCTCTCATTCTTTGCCCCAAAGATGGTCTAGATACTTCCTTTTGCTCCAACCACCACAAACCCTCAAACACGGATCTCAAACCCTTCCTTGCGGGGATCTCCTTGACACGTTCCTACGCAAGGCATCTTCACTGCTTTACTTGACATTACCCCAGTCCTTCACTCTTACATGCTGGTTTCCCCTCTTCACACCCACTTGCTTCTCCCACCTCCTCTTCCCCACTTACTCGGGTCTCCTGCTCAGGACGCCCTTGCCGAGGGCGGCGGGGGATGTGTGCTGAAGTAGGGCTCCGGCGGCAGCGCAACAACTCGGGGGACGCTCCTTCTCCTTGTCAGCTGCGGCCCCGGGTGCCACCGGGTGCTGGTGGGGCGACTGGGGAGCCTGAGCCCTGCCGCCGGGCTGGGGCTGCGCCAGGAGTTGTCCGTGGTGCTGAACCGGCGGCTCCGGCGTGGCGAGTGTGAGCTGTCCGTGGTCCTGGAGAGGCTCCTGGGCCGCAGTGGCGCCCGGAGTGGTGGTTGTAGGAGCAGGCAGTGGGGCGGACGGCGGGGGGACGAGCCCGGGCGGAGGTTGGGCTTGCAGCAGCTGCTGATGTTCCCACAGGCTGCGGTTCTCCGCGCTCAGCTCGTCTAGACGCCGCTCCAGCTCATCGATGCGCTGGCGCTGGGTGTGGATGAGACTTTGCTGGTTCTGCACGATGGCCGTGAGCTCCTTGAGGTAGAGCACGGCGCGCACCGGGTTCTCCAGCAGGCTCTCCATGCCGCCCGCCGCCGCCTGCGCCCTGCCTGCGCCTGCCTCGGCGGGCGGCGAGGTGCGTGAGCGCGCAGGAGCCCAGCAATCCGGGCGGTCGGCGGCCTCCTTCCCTCTCTCTCGCTTTCTCTCTCTCCCTCTCCCTCCCCTTCCCACCGCCGCCTGCGCGTCACCGCCACACAGGCATTCGCACACGCACTGAGGGGCGGACCCGGCGCCAGGACCCACCTCCCACCTCTGGGCTTCGTGAGGAACTCTGCTTTCCGCGGGGCGGGGAGCAGAAGAGGGAGGCGAGCGAGGAGCAGCGGGGAAGAGGCTGGGCCTGGAGGGATACTCCATGAGAACCCAGGAAGGAGAACAGTCCTACCGGTGAGGAAGGAACAGCCAACCCAAGCAGCAGTGCTGGGAAAGTGCGATGGGACCAAGAAAAAGAAAAAAAAGGAAACTGCAAGAGAAATAGGAAGAATAAAGGGAGGCGGGTACAGAGGAAGATAGAAATCTAGGCACCCGGCTCTAAAAGGTCACAATCTTTTTTTCCTAAGACCTTCTGAGGAGGGGGCACACCTGCCTCTTTGCTGCTCAACAATTTGCTTTTAGGGGTGCCCTGGAACAGAGGCTATGAACAGTCAAGAGACTCTAGAAAACACGTGTGTGTGTCTGTGTGTGTCTCTGTGTGTGTTGTTTAGTTCTGCCAGGGGTAAATTAAGGCAGGAAGGCTGCTCATGAAGGATTTTCTCTGGAAATGACATCTCATGGCTCTTTGTACTAGAACAGAAACGGAAAAGAGCAGGGCCTCGGAGGCCACTGTTTCCAGCACCTTTTGAAGCAACCATTCAGTTAGACACCTAGGATATACTCGCAATTCGTAAACGCTGGACGAGGAGACAGTATAATGATAATGCTAGACCAGGGTAGGTTTGCTGGCTTCTTGCAGTTAACGAACAGTGGACCAAAGAGGCGATAGTTAATTCTGAAACGTGGCAATAAGACAGAGTTGTGACCAGAGCATTGTCAGAGTCACCCAGTCTGAGCTTGGAAGAGTTAACATTTGAGGAGTGACGGGTTTTTCTGGAAGCTCGGAGACATGAATCAACATGAAATGATCTGTTCACAGTCTTTGCATATAAACACCCACTGAATACAGTATCATATTAGGTCAGCCAGGAAGAAAATTAAGGCAGAAAGGCGGCTGCTAGTGCTGGATTTTCTGTAGAAATGAGGTCTCAGGGCACTTGGAGTCATAATTCATATGCAACAATCTGTACTCATTCTGGCTTAAACAGTTCAGTGGATTTTGACACTGTACACCAACCATTCATCATTACAAGCAAAACTGCTATGTGTAATAAGTGCCCCTTCACTCTGTTCAACATCTTGTCCCCTGCCCCAACTAAGCAAACATCTGCTTCCTCTAACACATTAGTCTTACCTGGAATTTAATATTATTGAAATTGGATAATGTATACTTGCTGTGTGTGATGTGTTTGAGGTCCATCCATTCTGTAACAAGTACCATTAATTTATTGTTATTTCTGAGTGATTAACAGCAGATACAGCACAATCATTTCTCTCGTCTACCTGCTGATACTGTTGATGGACATTTTGGTGGTTCAGCACTTTTATTTTATGAAATAAAAGTTTGTTGATCGTACTTCAAAGGGAAAAGGGCTGGGTAGTATTAGGAACACCTCTACCAACAGATGCTTGCCTCGATGGTATAGAATCAGTTGCTATCAATATTAAAGGGCAGGTGGACACATGCTTTTGAATGTTTTGCAAAGAGTACAAATCTGGAATTGAAATTCTTGGATTGTTAATGCAGATTTAGCTTTGGAAGAAACTTCCTGATAATATTTTCACGGTGGCTGTCTTTGTTCTCAGTACCAGGGAAGAGCTCTCTGCTATTTCTCTTTGCTGGAGTTTCTTTGACCCAGGTTGACTTTTATTTTCTTTCAGCGCTAACAAACACGATGCCAGGGTCCTTGGCTTGCATTTTCTGATGACCATTTTTATTCCTATTATGACTCAAGAGACAGAGAAAAATAGAAACAATGTGACTGACAGGGAAGCGGAATTCAAAGGCAGAGTGTTGAACAGCTGCACTACATATGTTTAAGGACTTAAAGAAATATGTAAACACAATGAAGCAAGAAATGTGATTTAAAAAAAAATAACTAAATGGGAATTCTAGGCAGTTTTCACCTCTCGGAATGTAATATCCAAAATGAAATTTGTCCTGGCTAGGATTCCCAGCAGATCTAGACTACAGCAGGTCCAAGCATCAGTGAGATCAAACATAAACTATCTAAATTGCCTAATGTTCCTCGATAGGTCACTGAGTCCCTGGTGTCATTTTTTTTTCAGTTTTTTAATTTTCTATGTTACAGTTTGAAGAGTCAACTGTATAAATCCCGTCTATTTCTTTTCTAAAAGCAACTTTCCAAATTTTCTCTTGGTTGTCTATGCTTGTTTTCTCCCACACTTTTCATGTCTCTGCACACATGAGGCAATTTTTTTTACATTTTGATTGTGATTTTGCTAAGTCCACATTTTGTTGTCTTTCTTTTAAGAACACTGGCCATTGTTCTAGCATATAGATAAGTCCACTGGGGGTCGGCTTGGTTTTGAGCTTTGGTAGGATGATGGCCACTCTATGGCTGAGGGCTGATCACTGTGCCATCTCCTCCAGCCTGTATGAGCCCCAAGTGTTCAGTCCGCAGTCCACCAGTGCTTGGTGGGATCCCGCTGTGGTCAGTCTCATGGAGTTCCACTCTGTGCATTTCAGCTTAGTAACCATGAGGCAGAATGGAAAATGGAACACTATGGGGATATAAGCAGTGAAAGGGGCCCCTCCCCTAGGAACTATGTTGAAGACTTTTGGAAACTGAGAATCAAGGATTCCAACACAATGAGCAACATTTCGTAAAGGCCCTTCTCTCTTTTCAGATAAAGATCTGAAAATTTATAGACATCTTTTCAGAAGTCCCCTTTATAGTTAAAGGGTACCTTCTAATCCCGTTGTGCAACCCCAGTGACTTCCGATTCACCCTTATCAGATTACAACCCCACCTAAGATACTTCTGAAGCTACCCTATAATTTCACTTATCAAAAAGAGTAGCCCACGAAACTGCCTAGGCTCCCACAAAACCAATAGGTCCAGTAGAATCAAAAACCCATTGCCATTGTTCTTGAGGTCTCAGCAGTCCTCCTTGTCCTCTATGTTCAGCGAGACCGGTTTTGACCCGGATGGAGGTGGGTGGTCCTTGGTGGTAATTGAGATTTCCTCTTGATGTATTTTTCTTGTGATTAATATGAAATGGCCTTCTTTGTCTCCTTTGATTGATTTTAGTTTGAAGTCTATTTTGTTAGATACTAGTAGACCTATGCCAGCTTGTTTCTCAGGTCTATTTGATTGTAAAATTTTTTCCCAACCCTTTCCTCTGAGGTGATATCTTTGAGGTTGAAGTGTGTTTATTGAATGAAGCAGAAGGATAGATCCAATTTTTTGGCCTATGTCTTTTTATAGGTGAGTTGAGTACACTTATGTTAAGGGATATTAATGTCCAGTGATTGCTAATTCCTGTTATTTTAACTTTTATCATTGATGATGTTATTGTGTGCATTTCCTACTTCTTTATGATTTGCTGCTGTGAGATCATTTATTGTCTGTGTTTTTGTGGGTGAAGCTAACTTCCTTGGGTTGGAGCTTTTCTTCTAGTACTTTTTGTAGGACTGGATTTGTGGCTAGGTATTGTTTAAATCTGGTTCTGTCGTGGACTATCTTGTTTTGTCCTTCTGTGGTGATTGAACGTTTTCCTAGGTATGGTAGTCTAGGCTTGTATCTGTGGTCTCTTAATATTTGCATAACACTCAACCAGGACCTTCTGGTTGTTCCCACTGAGAACGCTGATGTAATTCGGATAGGTCTGCCTTGTAGTTCTTGATTGTTCTTCTGTATTTTCTCTTTCCAGAATTCCCTTGGTTTGTATTTTCTTTATTACCTGAGCCAGCAACCTCCTCTGGAACAAGCCTGAGCCAGTGACCCCCACGGAAGCAGGTCCAAGCAAATGACCTCCATCCGAGTATGCTGGAACCACCTCCAGGATTGCAGAGCAACCTCCGGGAGTGCTGAGTGACCTCTGGGGTGACTAGAACCATGCCCCAGACTTTACCACGAGGAGCAAACATCTGAACCTTGGATCCACTGGCACCTGGAAGAGTGGTCACTAGAGACACATCCCCAGATACACCAATCATAGGAAAAGATGGGTAGACAAGGTATGAACACATTTAATACCACAAAGAGCAACATGAAACCAACAAAAAGTAGTGACTAAAACAGCAAGACTTAAACACCCCAGTACAGATGAAGCAGAAGAAAATGACCTAAAAATACCTTTAGGAGAATGTTTCAGGTCTTTAAAGAGGAAATGAAAAATTCTCTCAAAGAAATGGAGGAAAAGACATACAAAAAAAATTGGAAGAAACCAACAAATTCTTTAAAGAAAACCAAGAAAAGCAATCAAACAGATGGAACAAACAATTCAAGACTTGAAAACCGAGATAGAGACAATAAAGTAAACACAAACCAAGGAAATTCTGGAAATGGAAAGCATGGGAAAATGATCACGAACCACAAATGTAAGCATAAATAGCAAAATATAAGAGATGGAAAAGAAAATCTCAAGTCTTGAAGATACAATAGAGGAAATAGACTTATCAGTCAACAAAAATGTTAAATCTAACAAAAGTTTAACACAAAAAATGGTCCAGTAAATTTGGGACAATATGAAAAGAAAAAAAACTAAGAATAACTGGGATAGAAGGAGAAGTCCAACTCAAAAAAGCACAGAAAAATATATTAAACAAAGTCATAGAAGAAAACTCTCCCAACCTAATAAAGATATGCTTACAGAACACCAAATAAACTGGATCAAAAAAGTCCCCTTGCCACATAATAATCAGAACACTAAACACACAGAATAAAGAAATAATATTAAGAGCTGTAAAGGAAAAAGGTCAAGTAGTATATAAAGGCAGACCTATCAGAATTACACTGATTTCTCAATGGAAACAAT